GCTCAGCGGGTTCCACCGCCATGCCAGCAGCCGGCTGAGCGTCCAGGGGTCCTACGAGCTGCCGCCGCCCGCCTGGCACGGTCCCGTTGGCGGCGGCGGCGGCGGCGGCGGCAGGGACGGGACCGGCGGCGGCGGCGGCGGCGGGGGCGGCAGCGGCGCGTGCACGCCGACGCGGCAGCTGCTGGGGCCGTCCAAGCGCCACAGCCTGCTGCGGCATGAGAGCGGGCGGGACTCACGGGAGGGGGGCGTGCCCCCGCTGCGCAGCCAGAGTCCCTTCGCCAACAGTCAGAGCCCCTTCGCGTCCGGCCACACCCACAGCCCGTTTGCAAACAGCCACAGCCCCTTTGCCGTGGCGGCGGCTGACGGCGTTGACTCGCCCTCGCCGAACCCGGCCCCGGCTGCCGCGCAGCCGCCGCGGCCGGTGACACACGGGGCAGCGCACAACCGGCTTGCGTCGCCGCCGCCGCAGCAGCAGCAGCAGCCGCAGCAGCAGCAGCAGCAGCAGGAGGGACTGACCGGCTGCAGCCGCGCGGGGCCGCGGCCGAGCCCGTTTGCCCTCATGCAGCAATGAAGGGTGCAGGGCCGAATTCGGCGCCCGCCGCAGCCCCCAAGCAGGAGGAGAAGCGCTTTTTCCCCCGCTGCACTGAACACACATTACACCACCCAGTGACTTTCGGCCGCGCAGCGCCTGCTTATGACACTTGAATCACCCTGCGCAGCTGGCAAAGCCTCCCCTCGAACAACACAGCCGCCCCGGCCGCCGACGCCGCTGCTCGGCTGCTTACGTGGGCCAGCTGCTGCTGCTGACCTTCACTCACTGTAATTGGTGGCGGACACGTCCTTATTTCCTTCATACGTGCATACGCGCCTGCGTATTCTTTCGGGCCGAGGCGGCGGAGCCGCGCCTGTGCACGGCTATGCGACCTGCTTGAAACCATCTCGCCGCGGCCGCGGCGGCTTTCGCTTTTTCAGCAGCGGCCCGCGCCACCGGCCCGCGCCCGCAGCCCGTCGCCTGGCTCGCGGGGCCGCGGCTGCGCTGAGATGTGCGTGCCGCGTCCTCCCACGCGTCGGGCGCCCGCAGCGAGGGGTCGCTATCGCTGGGGTTTGGTTCCAGCGCTGCCCTTCAAAACCCCCGCGCGAGGCGTAGGAGAAGCGTCACATTTTGACGCGCCTCCCGCCCGCTTTCGATCCTCTGCATGACACACCTTGGCTGTAATCGACTCTTGGATTTCATCTTGCTCAAGGCTCCCCCATACCCTGGGTTCTGGGCGGTGCGCGTCTCTCAACTGCACGTTGAACCCTGGGCCAAGCCGGCCGCGCTGGCTCCCACCGGCGGCTGTCCGTGTCCCGTCTCACGCAGGGGCTGGGGCGGGCCTGACAGGGGGAGGCAACGACAAATTCGCCCTCCTCAGCTGTCCTGCCGCCTCGCAAAGTCTCACACAAGCCAGCGAGGCCCTCAACTTGAGGGAAAGCAAGGGGTGTAGTGCAATGGCAACTCGGGGACAGCAAGGGGGTGTAACGGCAGAAGCCAGGAGGGCTCTGGGCCTGAGTTGCGGGGCCACATACGGTGGGACCGGCCAGGAGCCAGCACCACCCGAGATGGCGGGGCAGCTGCCCGGCAGTTTCGTGTTGCGACTAGGAATGAGGGGGTCACGGCCTTGGATCCCTTTGAGAGGTCCTGATTGAGGACTTCGCACAATGCGCGGAGGGCCAGGCCGGCGAGGTAACGAAGTTGCTGCCTTCTGGCCGCCCGCCGCGGCTTCGTTGCTACACCCAGCGGGCGCACAGGCAGCCGGCCCCCGCCGCGCCTGCCGCCCAACATGCCGCAACCAGCCCGCCCGTCCGTGACCGCCGCCGGGCTGCTCGGTGCATCGCTCCCGCACGGCCGTGGCCCCTCTGAACGCCCCCTGCAGGCGCCAGGCGGCCGGGCAACCGGCCCGCGGCCCGCCGCCCCGCGTCCCGCACGCGCCCCGCCACTCAGCAGGTGCCCGCCAGGCGCGGCCCGAGCGCGCACCTCCAGCCACGCGTGCCTCCCTGCATTGACTGGAGCCTACATCCTGAGAATCAGCCTAGCCCAGTTGCCCCTCGTCTGCAGAGGGCAGGGCCAGGGCAAAAAATACAAGTAACACGCCGGGCCCGGTGCACGCCTACAAACGCGGCAGCCGCCCGCCCGCTACAGCCGCCCGCCCTGCAACCGCCGCCTCTTTGTCTTCGTGGCTGGTTCGACAGGCTCCCCCTCGTCCTCCTCTTCACCCTCCTCTGCGCCCCCCTCGGCCCCCGGCCCCTCCGCGGCCGCGCCGCCGCCACCCTCCTTGCCGGCGGCCCCGCCGCCTTGCGAGTCTGCTGCCGGCTCGGCGCCTCCCTTCTTCGCCGCCGGCGCGCCGCCGCCCTTCCCGCCGGTCTCGGGCGACGCTTCGCCGTCGGCCTCCTCGTCGCCGCCGGCGTCGCTCGTCTCCTCCTCGGCCCCGCCGCCGTCGCCCTTCTTGTCAGCCGCAGGGCCGCCGCCGGCTTTGCCGGCCGGCGACGCGCCGCCGGCGCCCTCCTTGACAGCCGCGCCCTCCTCCTCATCCGCCCCGCCGCCGCCGCCGCTTCCTTTTTCCTCGGCCCCGCCTGCGCCGCCCCCCTCCTCCCCGGCCGCGCCGTCGCCCCCGCCGCTTCCCTTTGCCGCGCCGCCGCCGCCCGGCTTCCCACCCGCATCGGCCTTCTCAGTATTACCGCCTCCCCCTGGTTGGCCGCCCTCTTTGCCAGCCCCCTCGCCACCCTTGTCATCGCCATCCCCCTCCCCGCCGCCCCCGCCCGCCGCGGGGCCGCCCTCGCCGCCGCCCCGCTCTTCGGCCGCTGGAGAGGCGGCCTTTTCCCC